TTTTTTGTTCGTCCCTAGAGTATCTATCGCCGATAGCAGTGACTAATCTCCTCGCTATGTTGGAGGCACCTCAAAAGGTGAGATAGTTGGCCCCAAGATTTAACAAAGTTAAATTATATTTGAGTCTAAATTACCATTATATTTTTTATTGGTTTATAGACTCTAACCCATTAATAGACTTAAATAAACTCAATTATTTATGTGTTGAATTAGGACAAAGTCTATTTATGGCAAGATTGGATTAACCCAAAATATATTTAATATAAGTTATCACTTCCAAATAATGTATATTAACTTTTTATCTCATCATTATACATGATATTATGAAAATTAAATGATGGTTATTTGTAATCCTAAACAAAATTTAACATTAGTATGAATCATAAACAAAAAAGACAATGTACTACAGTTTTTCAAAAACTAAAATTAATGTCACTACAAAAAATGTTATATATAGTGACATACAAAAGGTGTCACTATAGGGACAATATATGTAGGTATATGTCTATTTGACATATAGTTATACACAATTTTAGTGTTGATTTTGAATGAGATTTAACAATATATTTTGTGTGTCACTATAGTTTATACCCACACTTTTTAATAATATACCAACATATATTGTAGTTATTGTGTAGGTAAAAGTAATTTTTAGTAACATGTATAGTGTCACTATAGGGTGTGTGTCACTATAGGGTGTGTGTCACTATATGGTAATTTTGTTATAGTATGCACTACAAAAATATCAGAATGGCTAATAAAACTAAAGGTGAACAAAGGATGACGGATCAAGTTGGATCATGTTTAATTCTAACTCGTATCTAGATCTTGATTAGATTAATTTTTTTAAATTTTGGACTGTTTTTAGACCCAATTAAATCCAAGACGTAATAGGTTGTTAAATTAAGTTGAATCTCATACACTTCTAAAATGGGTTTAACCATAAGTAAGGTGTAAGGTAAATTTTGATAGATATTTTTTTAAACGAAAAAGATATATGTTATGTCTAATTTTGATAGATATTTTTTTAAATGGAAAAGTTACATGTAACCTTTTTAACTTTAAAAAAAAAAACTAATAACAATATATGTTTTTTTTTGGTGAACCTAAAATTTAAATTTTAGAATCTTTATTCTTGAGCTGACCCTACACACACTAAGTTTTTGTATATAGTTCCTTTGGATATGTTTGGTTCAAGGGAAGTGGGAGAAAGAGAGTTAAATGGAAAAAAGATAAAGAACTCTTCTTATTAATTTGATTAACAAGTACATAGAAGCGATTTTAAAACACTATTAGTAATTAGCATCGTACGTTTGCACGTTAGAATTTGATGGCTTCATTTATACCCCTTGCTTTTAGTCTGCATTGCTCCATATTAATCATTATTTACTTGTTAAATGTCGTCCAAGAGCATGATACTTCATGGCTCAAATCAAAGCAAAACGACCAAAGACTTTGAGCAATCATTCAAGATTTGCAGGCTTCACTTCAAAGCTTTAATGGGAAGAAGAAAAAAGGGAGAAAATAACGGAGAACACGCATGATTTATTTCTAACCAAGTAACCATCGGCATGGTCATTATTCTAATTAGTCAACAGCCTCCTTTCTATCTACATCACATCATTTTATCTAGCAAAAGTTTGAGAAAGCACTGCATCTGTAACCTAGAGACACTAACTTACACAATATTTGATTATTATCATCTCACATATTTTTTAAATTATTACAAAAAATAAGCAAGCCTGACCACGATGCAAAACAAAGCTGCGATGCTCACAAAAGCTTTCTCTTCTTCCCAGTTAATACATGATTTTGCATCCTATTGGAATCCATATATGACACCGGTTCATTCTTCACTGATAACCCAAAATTGGATGCAGAAGACATCTGAGAAGGTTCATGAGAATTCCCAGGAAAAGCCAAGCTTAAAGAAGTTGGAATAAACCCATTTGGATAATTAACACTTGCTTTATCATCCATGTTGGTAGAAGAGCTATTATCTTGAGTACCATTGAGTGAAAGACCAGAAGAAGATAAAGGAGGAGGGTTTCTCCACATAGGAACAGGAGCAACTAGAAGTGTGTGAAGCAAAGGTCCAGCTTCTGTTACAGTTTGCAACAACCTACCCTTTTTAGGCAAGGGTTTCCCACAAACCAGTTTATCGATCACTAGGGAAGCATCATCAACCATGTTATTATCTCTTGAAGCCCCCATGTCTTCCTTTATATGGTTTGGTTTCTTTGGTAAGGTCAAGTTTCTTGGTTCAGATATTCTTGTGTGGGATAATAAGTCCATAGAGGAACGTTTCTCATTATTTGACTGGAGACTTGACAAGGATAACTCACATGAATGATTTAAGAATACTTTGTTGGAACCAGAATCTGATACCTTGGTGCTATTCAATGATGGCTTTGTTTTGTATTGGAGGCTTGCATGATCGATTTGTGGAATAGTATTGCTTGTCTCAGCTGGGGTAGGTGCTTGGAAATTCTTTGTTAGC